CAATCACTGGGTCTGGGACGGCGGAGTGTTAGCACAGGTGTGCGGCTGTGCGCGTGCGCCTGGAGGCGTCCTTCTGCCCCTCCGCCCGCTCTGACTCCCACCTGTTAGCAGGTCCTCAGCCTGAAGCCTCCGCAGCTGCCCGGGGAGGTCGCGGACTCTCCAGGATCGAGGGCGCGTGGTGTGACTGGCTGCAGGGATGCTGGAGAGAAGGTCCCCGCTTTGACCTGGTTCCCTGCGGGGGGCGGAGGCTGGGACCCGGGCGGCCACTGAAACTGGTGTTTGGATGCAACAAACTCTCAGTGCGCACCTGCTGTGTGCGGGGTGCTCTGGGGAATTCGCAGAAAAAGACCAACTTCCTGACCTCGTGGTTCCCTCACGTTCTACCGGGGGTGGGTGGGGAGAGAGACAGTCACGCACATAAATGTGTGCGTGTGAACTAGTGCCCGGTGACAAGTGCTCTCAGGAAACGCCGAGTGAGGGGGGGGGTGGTATATGAGCTGGGCAGGGAGGTCAGAGGGGGTGGCATCAGAGGAGAGCCCTGAAGAGGGCGAAGGAGCCATGCAGATCATTCCAGGCAGGGGAAGAGCAGGTGCAAAGGCCCTGGGGCAGGGATGCGCCTGTGCCTTCTAGGCAGCCATGGAAGGCGGGGGAGGGCGAGGAGGAGAGAGACTGGGATTTATTCCACATTAAGTGTCTTTATCCTCAGGTGCCCTTGGATTGGGGGCGGGGATGTGCAGCAGGCCACCTGTGGGCTTGGTGCTTATGTGTCCCCCCCAGGAAGATGGCCCATAGTGTTCATCAGATTTTCACGAAGGGAAACTTGACCCCCCTGCCCCCCAACGTTACAAACCATCACTCTAGAGCAGGGGTCCTCAAACTACGGCCCGCAGGCCACATGCGGCTGGCCGAAAACATTTATCCGGCCCGCCGGGTGTTTTTGCCAGGCCCAGAGAGAGGGGGGACAGGGCCCAGAGAGAGGGGGACGGGGCCCAGGGAGAGGGGGAGGCTGAGCCGGGAGCAGTGCGCAGCCCTGCTGGGCTCTAAGGAAACGTTTACAGCCTCATAAACAGCTCTGCCTGGGCAGCACCTGCTCTCTGCTAGAGGGATAGTGCCAAAGAGCAGTGAGATGGTGGGCTTGGGGGGAAGGGAACAGGAGCATGAGAAGGGAACAGAGATTCCCGGTCACCTCTCCTTTCCTGGAAATTAACCCGCCCAGGCCGGGCCGGGGCCGGGGTGAGGCCACGGAATGGGGGGAGGACAGAAGCACTGCCCAGCGGGACAGGGCACCTGGGGGGCTGGGGGCGAGGTCGGACGGGTCCTCCCTCCCTGAGTCTCCCCATCTGTGGGGTGAGCCTGGGTTGAGGGGAATGATGGGGACCAGCTAAACTAGAGGGAGCCAGGACTTGGGGGGGGCCTGGTGCTCCCCAGAAGCTCTTGTATGCGACTGTCCCACAGGTGACTCTGGCCCTTTAAGCAAGGCGGAGGGAAAGGGGTGCTTTAATCACTGCCACACACACCCCACCCCCCTGATAGGGGTTTTGGAGCAGAAAATTAATTTAAATCACTTTTTAATTAAAGATGCAAAGCCCTTCTGTGTGTCCCCTCCACGGCCCCCGGCTGAGGTTCGGGATGGGGGAGCCAGGGGCCTGCCCCCCCCCCTGCCTCACCTTGTGTCCTGGGGGGTTCGCTGAGGTCCCCTTGCCCAAGTTGGTTCTGAAAACAAGAAGTGTGGCCCGAGTGACAGTCCCAGAGAGGGGTGAGGGGACAGAGGCCGAGGCGACCGTCTTACCTGGTGGGGCCCAGGGGGGCCCGTGTGGGGGTGTCACTGGGAGGAAAGGGTGGTTTCTTCCACGGCTCTGCGCACAGAAGGACCCTCAGCCCCCACAACACGGGAGCGGGGGGAGCTGGGACTCGTGGGCATAAATCTTTTTAATTAAAGAGAGGAGGAGGCGTTGGAAGGGGGGAGATGGGAGTGTCTGGGAGAAGCCAGGGCCTGGGGAGGCGGAAGGGTGGCTGTCACCCGCTCCCCTGTCTGTGTGGTCCCTGTCCCCCTCCCTCTGGGTCCCTGTCCCCCTCCCTCTGGGCCCCTGTCCCCCTTTCTCTGGGTCTCTGTCCCCCTCTCTCTCTGTGGTCACTCATGGTCCCATCTCTCTGGCCTCAGGCCCCTCTGCCGAGCTGTCCCTTAAATGGTCCTCAGACCCTCACGTCCGGGGAGGGAGCCGATGGGGTCCAGGCCTGGGCCGGTGCTTGCTGGCCCATGTGGCTGCATCTGGAGGGGGGTGGGTTGCGTGCCTTCAGGGGCTCCCAGATGAACACCGGCCTGGAAGGGGTCTCCCCTCCAGTCCCTCCCCCACCACTTTATAGAGAGGAAGGCCCCGTCCCACCCTATTGAGACCTCCATGAATACATCCCGGGGCCTCCAGGTCTCCCCAACGCAGGTGCCCCCCAGCGTGGCTGTGGATCTCTCAGTGGCCTGGGGAGGGCCCTCTTGCTGACCCCAGTCCCCCATCCCCAGTGGC